ACTTAATAATTCGACATTCTTACATTTTGTTGTAGTATAACGCACTGTTATTTTCCTTGTAAAGGGTATATGCTCATTGCTATGCAAACACGGCTGCATATTTAGTATTTAGTATTATATTTAAACTTGTGGGGTGCATGGCATCGTGCCTTAAGGCAAATTGCTGGTACTTCCCGTACCTTAATTAAAAACTTTGTACAGAGACCAAAAAAATTTACAAAAAATGTGTTCACATTATTAAAATCTCTATAAAATATCTGATAATTTGATGTACATATGACCGTTTTTGGCACTTTTACCCCGTATCTTCGAAACGGCTAGACCTGCCTCCGCCAAAAACTAATCGCCACGTCTCCTTATCAATATGAATTGAATGTTTTTTGAATTATTCAAATCGGTCGATCGGTGTTCCCGAAATCGTCGTCGAAAATTTGTATCCGCACACATACACACATACATCAATTTTTTAAGGTATACCAACATATTCAGAAACCTTTGAAACGTGAAGATATATAAAATTTTTGAATTTCGATTTGTTTGCGATTACTATAACTTACTCTACGGGAAGTTAATAATTTATACGACATTTTGGACAAGGAACCATGGAAAATGGTCTTCTTTTATCAATTTTACTTTTTATCGTAATGGTGAGATATATTGTAAAAATTTTGATTTGGTTTTATTCACATCGGCAGTAATAATATAGTGCTAATTTATATCTTATTTCAAATAATTATTTGAAATATATATTTGACCGCGCGCTTTGTACATAAAACTTGTGTAACATCAATTGAAATATCGCATCGATTAGTTTGTCATGTAATGCGAAATTTTTATTTTATTTTGAAACAAAAGTTTTGAACTTTTGAATATGTTCCATCACAAGAAGTATACAATTTTTTGGGTGGTATGGGAAAAATGTATAGACTTTAGATTGATGTTAATTAAAGTTAGTCCAAAAACTCCTTCTCACAAAACTAAGTCGAAAAATATTTTAACCACTAGCAAATAATTATTCCTAATATAATTCACATCACTATCGATTTTTATTAGGCATCTCTTACAGTTAAGACAGAATGTTAATTTGAAAAAAAGGGCCACTTTCGCTTAATTTCAATACCTGAACAGGTATGAAATTGAAGATTAGTACATCGGATATTTTCAAAAATAAGATGTCGTATGGCAATGCGTTCGTACCCTTTGTATCTCGTTTAATGTAACTCCGAAAATTATACAGTAAAGTAAATAATTAATTTAATTGATTCAATATTTTACATAAAATATAATAAATTTTGGGAAACTAAGAACATAAACACGATTTTACAGATTATTTTTTTAAGCATATCAAATATAAAATGTTTATTAATTTTATTTTAAAGAAATATTTAAATTTTTGATTGTGCTTATGGAATGGAACATATATGTTGACGTTAATTTAGTTACCTTTGTTTGATGTTATTAAAATAGAGTACAATAGCCTTTGAATAGAACAATTCTATTATTGGATTACAACAAAATATTTGCATGTTAGTAACATGATAGATCCATTATACCCATTATCGAATGCATTACGACACAATCGGTATTTTGATTGAATGATAAAATAATACATAACATTGGGTGCATATCATTTAGATTTACCTTATTCTTTTGTCCAAACAGTTTATAAATCTGTAGCTAACGTTTAAGCTTGAGGGGCATTATTATTAAAGTTTCATTTGATAATCCATTATACGTATATATATATATATATATATATATATATATATATATATATATATATATATATATATATATTACCACAGTTTGCCGAGCAATTCAATTCTTTGAAAATTTATCAAAGAAATATAAGCTTGCAATAACAAATTTTGCAATTTATTTTTTGTTATTATTATTATTATTACAGCTTATGTAGCCCAAGGTCTACGATATAAGATGTAGAACTATTTGATATTTAAATCTCATAATCAAATAACTAACATTTATCATAAATATCCATACACAAGAGTTAAAATATACAAATATAGAATACTATGTATCATTTGGATCTACCCATTTCAATTCATTAATATTTAGATAATAATTTATCAGACTATTGCAAAATTTGCAGATTAATTTTACACAAACTTTTTCTAGTATTATTAATGAAGTCAAAGAAAAATATGAAAATATATAAATATATAAATATTGATTATAAGTTTTATGAAAATACTTGTATATAGTTATATACATATAGTTCAAAAGCTTAGGCCGCAAAGGCCGTCAGTGGTAGGGCTATGCGTATTATTTTTCTATTTTTTTATTGCAACACCAATTTAAAATTTTCAAAATACTTAATGTTTAACGCATTAATTAATTTTGAACGAATATAAAGTATTGTCTATAACTCAACCCAAAGAAATTCGGGTAGTATTGGTTGAAATATGTCGTGGATAGTTTTCGAGTTAAATATAACTATAACTAGTTGGTATTGGTATTTTGTCTTAAGGCAAGTTACATGAACTTCCCGATATGTGTAAATAATCGACTTAATCAATAAAAAATAAATTAAATCATAAGTGGTTAAAAGTATTCGAAGTGGATTTATTAAGACCAGGTGCTCTATCGTTATACCAAGTAAATCATCTAATTTTAATTTTAACAAACATCAAAAAAAATTCTATAAAACCATGATATATATCGCCGAAAAAAAGTTCCATGAAAATCGGATTAAATTTTTTTTCAACCGTTAATTTCAAGAAAACAGCTCGGTAGATTTTCACCTAGTATCATTCCCAACTAATATCTTTTGAACAGTTTTTGATTTTTTTAAATCGATTCGATAGTATGAGCTTAAATGTGAACGAAAAGTTTAACACTTTTTTTTTCCAAATTACAATGAAACGGCTTAGCCGATCGCTGCGCGAAACTGAGAGAAAAAGTAATCCACATCAAAATACATCGATGTGTATTGGCTTATAAATTTTTGAAATCGGTTCAGGCTTTTTTGAGTAAACGTCGATGAAAGTTCTAATTTTGACAAACGCCAAAAGAACGATAATTCTAAATTCTAATTTTTGCAATTTTTGACGAATTTTTAAAATTAAACGGCTTGTCGTAGGGCCGGAATATTTTAGTATGATCTATAAGACTATGGTAATTACCATAAAAAAAATCATAAAAATCGTCGGAAAACATTTTTTTAAGACTTCATTACAAGAAAACGGCCAGGCCGATCTTTACCAAAAAATAATCAGCACGATTCCCAACTAATATCTTTCGAACGGTTTTTGAATTTTCAAAATCAATTCAGAATTGGCTAAAACGTGGACAAAAAATTTTTCACTTTTCTGCGATTTACAAACTTACAAAACTGAGTCCTTATCGAGATACATCGAATGGCTTTTAAATTTTTGAAATCAATCCAGCCGTTTTTGAGAAAACGTCGATTTACGGCAAAAAATCTTCACATACACAAACATACTTTTCCCAAATTTGGTCTCATTCGATTTAGAACCGCCTGAAACGTCGAGAAAACACAAAATTAGCAAACCGAATTTTTGATGAAAACATAAACTTTTCCTTTGGGAAGTTAAAAATTATACCACGTCTTTTAAATAATTTTGATTTAGTGCGCAGATTATAATCTACGTATATTTACTAATTTTTTAAATGCGATAAAACATATTAACTAACAACAATATATTAAAAGTAAACAAAATGCAAATGGTTAGATTAAAGTCAGCCAATTGCACATAATTATATACAGAGTTGGTGAAGCAAATATGAGTGAGTGATACTCACGTCGATATTCAATCGACAGTATAAATTTTCTAAAAAAAATTGATTGAGAAAAGTTGCTTTTGTTTTTATTTTGATAAACTATATTGTATTTGAAATATGTCTACGCATAATTTAATTCATAAGATTGCTTCATTGATGAATGATCGCAAATCAGAAAAACTGCCATTTACTATGCAAACAAAATGCTCTTTTGCTGAAATGTTTATGAAATAATTAAAAAAAGCATTTGTAAAGCGTAATCCATAGAAAGAAGATATTACACATATAATATAATAGGTTTAATGAATTGTAAAACTACTTTCCAATTTAGACTTTAAAATCAAAATCATTATTTATGCAAAATGATATGAAAGATTGATATGAAAAACCATAGAATATTAAAAAAAACTTGTTCGTCTTACTTGGATATTCATCCGGCAGTTCATATAGTATCATGTTTCTATAAATTTTCTGAAAATCTTACAAACAATTTCAAGATTGTGCATGTAAAAATTTAACTATAATTGTTCTTTTCATTTTTATATATTTCTGATGCTAACCATGTCGTATTAGAACATCCACCAAATTTAACAAAATAGAGAAGGCTTAAATAGAATAGGCAATGAATCTGTAAAATTTATCTTCGAATTAGTTTGAATCAAATTTTCAAATACGAATTATTATATAAAACGAATATAAATAAAATTAGTAGTGTAACTCATAAAACCATAAAAAATGTACAACCTTTGACCTAAGAATGTGGCGAAAAATTATATATTATGTATAATAATGCGCGAAATATTACTGTTTGTGACACAATGCAGCTTAGAAAATTAGAAAACTATTTTTGTTCGCATATATTTTAAGTTATCCGAGTTAACATTAATATATGATCCGTTTAGAAATTAATTGTAAACGATCTTTATTTTGCGCGCAATTTTATTAAATTTAATTATGACATGACGCGTAAGAGTTGGTTATTCTTCATGAGATTAAAACATTTCTGCTCAGCTGATATCAGAAGACGCATTTCGTTCGTACTTTTGATAATACATTAGTTTAGTTACCATCTCGAAACAGTTTGTTACATATATGTATATATATATACGTCTTCTGGCTTCGAAATTTGATTCAGTCAATAATATCTCCTCTTATAGAGTAGTCAGACTAATAGTGGGCCCTACAGTTGAACGCTTTTATTTTCGCGAGCTTTAATCACAACCGTTCAGTAATCCGCCCGATATCAGTACAAACTTTTCAATTTTTGTTACGGATTAAGTGATATTGATTTTTCATTAAGTGATTTAAAAGTGGTGTGAAATTTTTAAGATTTGAGTGGTCAAATATAGGCAATTGGTTAAAGAAAACTCAGTAAGTAGTAGAAGTAATTAAAATAATTTACATTTTTTTAAGTTAGTGAGTTTTTCACTGAAAAAATATATACAATGTTAAGAACAAACTTAGGATTAATTTTAATATTTTTATTATTATTTATTAGTAACGTCTATCAATCACGTATTTTTTATTTTAAATTTCAATGATTCTTGTTGGAGAATTGTTCTTGAATTTTGCTGTATAATATATTATTGACAACATTTTTTAAATTTCAATAATAGCTAATAAAATATATTTCACATTAAAGTTAATAATGATATATGATATTATATGAAATATGATCATATATGATACTATTCTTCAGCTTTATTAAGATAAATAGACAAATGATTGTTATCATGAACAATCTTTTAACCATTGCTTAAATAAAAGTAAGAAATCATAAAGTGCCTTTTCTAATTTCTTTTTATACAACAGATACACATTGATACTGCTCTGACGGCATGACTATTTCGCGTCGCCAAATTATCAAAATACATTTCAGAAAATGACTTTTTTCCTTCAAATTTTGCCAAGCTGCTGAAATAATTTTTAACTAGCTGTAAGTGGAATTCTGTCTTAAGGCAATTAAGGCATCGTGCCTTAAGGCAAATTGCTGGAACTTCCCGTACCAAAAATTATTATTTTTTTTTAAAAACGATTAACATTTTTGAAAAAAATTTACTTCGAAAAAATAAGATTTTTGACAAACAATTAGACAAAAAATTACTTTTTTTTGAAAAAAAAATTTTTTTTAATTTTTTTTTTGAAAAAATATGTTTTCTTTATTTTGACATATTTTGAAATATCTAAACTTTTTTTCAAAGCAATCGTACTGCTTTAACTGCATAAAGACGAAATATCAAAACCGCGTAAGCGCCGCGTCGACGTCTAACGCGTAAACATTGATACGGAACCCATAGGAATGTAAACCAAAATTATACTTATTGTTAAAATCTCTATAAAATATCTGATAATTTGATGTGCATATGTCTAATGATCATTTTTGACCGCCAAATGGCATTTTTTTTCACTTTTTTCATTAGATCTCCGAAACCGCTAGACCTGCCTTTATGAAAATTCGATAGGTTCTTCACCTTGTCAATACAAGTAAAATGTTTTTTGAATTATTCAAATTGGACGCTCCGTTCTCTTAAAAACTGAGTTACCGTTTTCGGCACTTTTTGCCCCGTATCTTCGGAGCGGCTAGACCTGACTTTGCCAAAAACTAATCAGCACGTCTCCTTATCAATACGAATCGAATGTTTTTTGAATTATTCAAATCGGTTTATCGGTGTTCCCGAAATCGTCGACGAAAATTTGTATCCGCACATACATACACACACGCACACACACACACACACACACACACACACACACATACATCCATTTTTTCTAAGGTTTGCCAAAATATTCAGAAACCTCTGAAACGTAAAGATATATAAAAATTTTCATTTTCGATTTTTTTGCGATTACTATAACTTGCCCTACGGGAAGTTAATAAAAAAACCAAAACTAGCTGTAAGTGGAATTCTGTCTTAAGGCAATTAGGGCATCGTGCCTTAAGGCAAATTGCGGGAACTTCCCGTACCAAAAATTATTATGTTTTTAAAAACGATTAACATTTTTAAAAAAAAATTACTTCGAAATAATTATTGAGAAACTAGGAATATGACAAAAAATTACTTTTTTTTGAAAAAAAAATTTTTACTTGAAAAAAAAAAATTTTTTTGAAAGAAAAAAATTTTTTTTTGAAAACAAACTATTTTTTTGAAAAGAAAAATATTTTCTTTATTTTGACATATTTTGGAAATTATGAACTTTTTAACTTCCCGTAGGGTAATTAACTTCCCGTAGGGTAAGTTATAGTAATCGCAAAAAAATCGAAAATGAAAATTTTTATATATCTTTACGTTTCAGAGGTTTCTGAACATTTTGGCATACCTTAGAAAAAATGGATGTATGTGTGTGTGTGTGTGTGTGTGTGTATGTGTGTGTGTATGTGTGTGTGTATGTATGTACGTGTGTGTATGTATGTGCGGATACAAATTTTCGTCGACGATTTCGGGAACACGGATAAACCGATTTGAATAATTCAAAAAACATTCGATTCGTATTGATAAGGAGACGTGCTGATTAGTTTTTGGCGAAAGCAGGTCTAGCCGTTCCAAAGATACGGGGCAAAAAGTGCCGAAAACGGTAACTCAGTTTTTAAGAGAACGGAGCGTCCGATTTGAATAATTCAAAAAACATTTTACTTGTATTGACAAGATGAAGAATTGATTAAATTTTCATGAAGGCAGGTCTAACGGTTTCGGAGATCAAATGAAAAAAGTAAAAAAAATGCCATTTGGCGGCCAAAAATGATCATTAGACATATGCACATCAAATTATCAGATATTTTATAGAGATTTTAACAATAAGTATGAATTTGGTTTACAGTCCTATGGGTTCCGTACCAGTGTTTACGCGTTAGGCGGCGACGTGGCGCTTTACGCTCTTTGATAATTCGTCTTTATGCAGTTAAAGCAGTACGATTGCTTTGAAAAAAAGTTTAGATCTTTCAAAATATGTCACAATAAGGAAAATTTTTTTTTTTTCAAAAAAAAAAAAAAAAAAAAATTTTTTTCGAAAAAAAAAATTTTTTTTCAAAAAAAAAGTAATTTTTTGTCCAATTTATAGTTTTTCAAAAATCTTATTTTTTCGAAGTAAAATTTTTTCAAAATTGTTAATCGTTTTTTAAAAAAAAAATAATTTTTGGTACGGGAAGTTCCAGCAATTTGCCTTAAGGCACGATGCCTTAATTGCCTTAAGACAGAATTCCACTTACAGCTAGTTTTCAAAGCAATCGTAGTGCTTGAACTGCATAGAGACGAATTGTCACAGCGCAAGTGCCGCGCCGCCGTCTAACGCATAAACATTGGTACGGAACCCATAGAAATGTAAAAAAAAATTATACTTATTGTTAAAATTTCTATACAATATCTGATAATTTGATGTGCATATGTCTAATCATCATTTTTAACCGCCGAATGGCATTTTTTTTTACTTTTTTCATTAGATCTCCGAAACCGCTAGACCTGCCTTCATGAAAATTTTATCAACTCTTCATCTTGCCAATACAAGTAAAATGTTTTTTGAATTATTCAAATCGGACGCTCCGTTCTCTTAAAAACTGAGTTACCGTTTTCGGCACTTTTTGTCCCGTATCTTCGGAACGGCTAGACCTAACTTCGCCAAAAACTAATCAGCACGTCTCCTTATCAGTACGAATCCAATGTTTTTTGAATTATTCAAATCGGTTGATCCGTGTTCCCGAAATCGTCGACGAAAATTTGTATCCGCACATACATACACACACATACATACATACACACACACACACACACACATACATCCATTTTTTCTAAGGTATGCCAAAATGTTCAGAAACCTCTGAAACGTAAAAATATTGCCGTAGTATCATGATAGTTTTGGCAATTTCTCTAATGCATCATGTTGAACTTAAAATCCTCGTATTATTGTATAGTATTTTGTCATAAAAATATAAGCGATATTATTTTTTTAAGGATATTCATACGGTATGGTATTCAATTGAATTTTTTTATTTCTTGCAACAATTGACTTATTTTAATTACATTCGAAACTTTTGTATATTGATTGAGTATTACCTGCATCTAATTATAATACTTGGATCAATTTAAATGCTACATTATGATTTAAAAGATGAGTGATTTACAAACTGCTTATTATTGGAATACCTAAAAGAATTTTTTAAGTTAATTTTTATATTATACAAAAAAACACAAAATTAGTACTCCTTTACACTATCCGAAATTAATATGTTGAAATGTTATTCATGTGTAAAATACTAATAATTATTTAAAATCATATATAATTACTTGTTTATGAGCTGAAAATTCACAAAACGAATAATCTAAACTAATTGAAAGTGGCATTTTGCCTTAAGTCTAGTTGAATGAACTTTCCGATAGATGTAATAATTGACTTAATCAACCAAAAACGAGATTTAGATAATTAGATAAAATTTTCATCTGTTTATTTCGAAAATAAAGGTTTACCTTGCATCTGAATCTAAATATTGCGATTTGCAATTGATATTTCTCAAATGCATTCAAATTATCTGTAATTGTTTTATTTATAGTGCACAGACAAATGCTTGTATATCATTTATCAAATTCTACTAATTACAAAGAAATGGCTCAGTCGATCGTACCCAAAAACTAACCAGCGCGAGTGCTTATCTTTGGTCTAAATGGATAGTCGATGAATGGAAATATTTAAAATTAATCGGCTGATCGTTGGGCCGTAATATTTTGGTATATTTTATAAGATATTTCATAAAAATATAAGTTTTATAAAAATCCTCGAAAATTTTTTTCAACACTTTATTTCAAGAAAACGGCCCGGCCGATCTTTACCAAAAACTAATCAGCATATCTTTCTCAACCAATATCTTTCGAACGCTTTTTGAATTTTTAAAATCGATTCAGGATTGCGGGCTAAAGCGTGGCCAATTTTTTTTTTCACTTTTCTGCTATTTACAAAGAAACGGATTGGCAGATCGTCGTGCAAAACTGACAAACGCTAGTCCTTTCCGAGATACATCGAATGGCTTTTAAATTTTTGAAATCAATCTAACTGTTTTTGTGAAAACGTCGTCAAAATGTCAATTATCGGTTTACATATACACACGCATGCATACTGTTTCTAAATTTTGTATTATTTAATTCAGAATGGCTTGAAACGGCGAGAAAACATGAAATAAGAAAATCGGATTTTTTGACGAAGGACAAACTTCTCCTTCGGGCAGTTAATAACATTCTTAATGTGAACGAAATCGAAATCATAATTATTTGCAATACTTCATAAGTTTGATGCCGATTTAAACTTGAAAATATTATAATTGTATATTCTTTTTTAAATATCACCTTAATATTATAGTTATCGGCGGTCCTAATAACGTCCATAAAAATATATCGGAACATACATTATTATATGTTTAGATTTGGGAAGTGAGGTATGTAGTAGATTATTGCAAGTTATCATGGTCTACTCATATATATATATATATATATATATATATATATATATATATATATATATATATCTATATATAATAGATAATTTTAATATTAATAAGCCAATTAAAAATACTAAAGATTTTAATAACCGTGAGTTTTTAAGTTTATAAAACATGTATTTCATTGAATATGTTGAATTACATTACACGATTAAAATATATAAGTTTGTTACCCAAGGGTATTATACTCTAACAATGTTTATGAATGTTGTAATACATTTTATATTAGTAATCAGTATAAGTAATATACTGTGGCGTCGGAACCGTGTGGGCTGTGTGGGCTTGAGCCCACCCATGAATTTTGATGGGGGGGCTCTGCCCACCCATCAATTTCAAAAAATTATATGGGCTAATATCTCTAAAAAAAAAAAAAGAAACGAGCCCACCCATCAAAAATTTGGTTCGCCAACGCCACTGGTAATATACGAGTATATGGGCAAAAAGGGAAAAAATAACCGCGATTAAACTAGAACGTAATACAAGCTAGAAATGCATCAATATCATGTCATGCAATTATTATCAAATAATATAAATAAATATATTAAACCATTTGAATTTTTTTTTCTTAAATATGCGTCTGAATAGTAAGGGTAGCCTACTTCATACATATTTGGTTGTTCCAACCGTTGATCTGATCACTTAATGACAGATCAATAATAAGTATCAAAATCGAAAAGCATTATGATTTTATAAATGAGATAAGTTTATTAATTCCAGTGCTACAATTTAAATTAGTTAATAAAATAGGTGTATAAATTGGTTAACGAATATTAAAATAATAATGAACAAGGACTTAAATTAATAAAAACAAATTTAATTTACCATCTACTGAAAGGGTTTTCTTTTCTTACTGTTGGTGCACATGGGTACCACCATGATTGAAAATATTTGGACAATTACTTAACAGTTATTGCTCATTTATTTATATTACAAATTATTATACTAACCACTTTTTATACAATTGTTAGAATACCATCGAAAGGGTTAACCTCAGTGTCTCGATTTGTAAAATGTAGAATATAAGGTTAAACATAAATTCCTAAGTGACAATGTGCATAGTGAATTTTTTTTATGAAACTAGTAATAAAGTTACCATAATATGTTTCATTACAATGGCTAAACGTTCAAATATCGCGCGAGACAATTCTTTGCCATTCAAACTTCATTGCTCTCCCACTTTGATTGTTCGATCACGTGGTGCGGCAAGAGGTTATAAATACGATGCGAGCCCTGAACGAAGGTCTCTTTTCCACAGTTGTGTCAAGGAGTGCTGAGAGGTTTGTGATCAGTGCTCTAAAGTGTTCAGAATGCCACAATCAATGCATGTAAATGGCTATGCCAACGGCCACAGCGGTTCCTTCGATATGGAGGATGGATCTGTTTTCTTGTTTACTTCGGAATCTGTTGGCGAAGGACATCCAGGTTTGTGAAACATAAAATATATTTTATAATTTCACGGCGTCATTACTTGAAAAATGGCCGACCTCGGGACATGCGTGGTCTGTAGCTTGATTTATTGCCTGAAATATATATTGTTTGATGTTAAGATTCCATAGATAATGTTGTTACAAATTTAGACTATCGATCCCTTTTTGTTTACGTAGCTATTTGTACATATACAAATAAGTTAAAAAAAACTTAACCTTAAAGTTAGTTACAGTGGTAAACACGTGCTTTTTTTAATATTTCCAATTACAAATTGATACTGTGTTTCTATTATTTTGCTAGTAAAACTAGTTTCTATGTCAGCATTTGTTTTTATAAATGCAATGTTATAGTGATCATGAAACTTCTTCGAAAAGTTTTTCGTATTTTTTATAGTGCTTAGTGTGACTTAATCTTTAACATGACAGTAAACAATATTGTTATTTTTTGTTTTAGATAAAATGTGTGATCAGATCAGTGATGCTGTATTAGATGCTCACTTGAAGCAAGATCCAAATGCTAAAGTTGCTTGTGGTAAGTTCTGTGTTTCTTGTATAATTCAAAAAAAAAAAAAACTAAAGCAGGTTGTTTGATGATTTTGAATTTTTCTAACTCAAATTCAACTTCAAGTTTTATATGTGGCATTCATAACCTCAAAAAAAAACACTCTGAATTTCGTTTTAATTCAATTACATTTGCCTATATTCTGTGTTGATCATATAAAGAATGTAAAGCTATATTTGTCATAGCAGCATTATGTTCAATGTCTTGTCAATTTCATATATACATATACATATATACAATTTTCAGTTAAATGTTTCTTTTTTGTTTATAGAAACTGTTACTAAAACTGGAATGGTTCTCCTCTGTGGAGAAATAACTTCCAATGCTGTAGTTGATTATCAAAAAGTGGTTCGTGACACGGTGAAACACATTGGTTATGATGATTCATCTAAAGGTATTATTTATTGAACTTTATTATTGTTTGTCTCAATTTAGACGTTATCCCTTTTTTTTTGCCCAATTTTTTTTTTCAAGCTTTGCTTTCATGTACTGTGAAGCATGTCAATTGCCCTAATTTTTTATTTTCTTTTATCTTGAGCGTGAAGCTTAAAGTATTTACTGCCATATTTTGATTATAACAAGATCTAAATAGTTTATTGGGGTATTAAGAGCGCTGTTATTTGGTAAACTTAGGGTTTGACTGGCGTACCCTTAATCTTCTGGTTGCATTGGAACAGCAGAGTCCAGACATTGCGGGTGGTGTACACATGAATAGGCAAGAACATGACATAGGTGCTGGGGATCAGGTACATCATATTGCCGGTCTACAAAATGCATCCTAAGCTGTGTTACGTTATTTGCTCATTTATACATAATATCCCCACACTTTCATTTTGATTACGAATTAAAAATATATGGCAGTTTTCAACTTTTAGCCATTAGCTTGTTCGATTTTTAATTAAGCATGTTTTCATTGTCGTTGTTTGATAATCATTTATCCACAATATTTAAAGTCCATGGGTCTATTATCGATTGCATGATGGGCATCATTGAAATATGAAATATATACTAGGTTAATTATAAAGTTTAATAGCATTAATGTATGTATACCAGACTTTATTATTAAAATTACAGCAATTAGCTGTTTGAAATTTATGTTCTCGGCTGCATCACACAAATTTTAAATTTAGTTTTTGAATTCTGGTGATCTAGTGATTCAAGTTTAGAGTGAAAATTATTTTGAAATTGAATTTTTTGTGACCATCAAATTGTTTATACTGTTAATTAATGCTTAATTTCAATTTTTTTTTTGATATGCTTTTGCAATATCTATAGCTTACTTACATATTTACATTCAAATTACTTCAATACTTAATTCGTTATCTCATTCGGATGATTTGAGAAAGTTTTCTAGCTAATTTTGCTTATGACGATTAGGTTTCGACTATAGGACCTGCAATGTACTACTTGCATTGGATGCTCAGTCACCTAATATAGCAGCTGGAGTACATGAACATCGAAGGGATGAAGAAATTGGTGCAGGAGACCAGGTGATCTATTGAAAACGTTAATTTGTAGTAGCAGTTCAATCTTTTTTTTTCAGACCAGTATTTTCTATAATTTGCTTTTAAGTTGCGCCTCAAACTGTTTCTAGGATAATTTATGCTGGCGTGATTTGCTGCAAGTGCTAAATTTTAATAATTTGCATAACTAGTGCATGTTTAATTTCACAAACGCATGCATGGTTTTTAATGTTTTGAATGTGGCACTTCAGTACTCATTTGTGAGTTACCCATAATTTTGGGTTTATTCATAATCAAAAATAGTGTCAACTCATTTCATAAATATTCAAGTTCTTATATCAGATCTTTGAGCCATGATATTTCATATAACATCTCTTGAAAGCAGGACAATCAATTCAGTTAATATAAAAACAAATTGTATGGAAATGGTTTCATATTTGAAATAATTCACTTTGCATGTTCTTTGGATTTACTAGTAATTATCACTGTTGCAATCACATATGCGCAGAATCATTTTTTATCCTTCAGGTTTCTTATTTTAGGGTTTAATGTTTGGATATGCAACTGATGAGACGGAAGAATGTATGCCACTAACTGTAGTGCTCTCTCACAAATTGAATCAACGTATTGCAGAATTAAGGAGATCTGGAGAATTCTGGTGGGCTAGGCCTGATAGTAAAACACAGGTTTGAATATATCCAGATATTACAATTGTATAAAGACGGTTGTTTCAAAAATAATTTTCATTATTTGAAGTTCATGATGACTTGTTATATTTGCTACTTCTGAGTAGTCTTGATTAAACATACTATACTGAGCTGAACGTTTATTTTCTAATTTCACAAATAATTGTGCCCATTACTTACATATATGAATTTCAGGTTACTGCTGAATATTTATTTGATCATGGTGCATGCGTACCAAGACGTGTGCATACAGTTGTAGTATCCTTGCAACATAGTGATAAAATTAGTTTGGATGAATTACGCTCAGAAGTTATGGAAAAAGTGATCAAACAGGTCATTCCAACAAAGTACTTAGATGAAAATACCGTATACCATATAAATCCATGTGGTTTATTCATAATTGGTGGTCCACAGGTAATATTCTTTATGAAGTATAAAACTTCATTATTCACGCATATCTATTTTTATTAAATTTTAAAAAGTAACACTTGTGTCCGAAATTTGGCATAGTTATGCACCACTACTTTGTTACATACAATATTGTTTTACATGATGTTTATTAAGTATTTGCTACTCTTGAGTTTGGCATGATGAACTATACATTCCTGACAGTCATTTACTTCTTCCATTACAATTTTTTTTTTTTTTTTTTTTTGCTTCAAAATTGTTTTATTTTTAGAGTGATGCTGGATTAACTGGTCGCAAGATTATTGTTGATACATATGGAGGTTGGGGAGCTCATGGCGGTGGAGCATTTTCTGGTAAAGATTTTACAAAAGTTGATCGTTCTGCTGCTTATGCTGCAAGATGGGTTGCCAAGTCTTTGGTTAAAGCTGGTTTATGTAAAAGATGCTTAGTACAGGTTGCTTATGCCATTGGTCTGGCTGAACCATTATCCATTACTGTTTTCGATTATGGTACTTCTAGCAAATCTCAAAGTGAACTACTTGCAATTGTCAAGAAAAATTTTGATTTAAGGCCAGGCAAAATTGTGAAGTAAGTAGAAATTTATTACTTATTATTTTTGTCTGAAATCAAATGCTACTTAGAAGTTTTATGTTAATCAATTAATTTTCCCAAATTAATAAACAATTATCATTTGTCATGTTTGATGTTTCTTCAAACATCATGCAATTAATAATAGGCAAGGTAATAGAGAATTTCTAGCTATAAATTTAGTTTATTCAATAGTTTTTTATTCTAATGGCATTTTTTTTTTTGGATCAGGGAGTTTTCCCAGACATGATGTTAGTTATGTATTTGCTACTCTTGAGTTAGTATGATGATAAAAACAATGCTGAAAGTACATGGATGAACAATTATCCATTACATTAAGAATACTATTTAATTAGTGTTAATGCAAATTTCAGAGACTAAATTTGAGAAGCCCAATATACCAAAGCACTAGCACATATGGTCACTTTGGTCGTGATGGCTTTGCATGGGAAAATCCGAAACCACTCGTAGAATAAGAAGAGCTCAAATTGATAATATATCTTCAAGACACAAAATCTCTTTAGGTTTTAAGATGTAATTTTAACCATAAGATTTTTATTGTACAAGTAGTTGATAGTAAGTGAAATCAAACAATGGCACATCTGAAGAGTGAGGCATTATTCTGAACCTTTAGGGACTGTTCAGGTCAAAGTTGGTTTATTAAAGCCCCAGAATCAAATGAGCTTATATTACTAATAAAATTCTTTGTAAAAAGCTTGACTGCCAATTTACTGGATCACAGTTAGCCGTTTTTGGCTTGCTGCAAACCTTGTGTGCAGGGTGAAGTGGTGATGTACTGCAACCTACATGATTTGGAACATTACAGATATATTCAATATAATGCAGTATTATCGAAAACTTTTGCTCCACACGCTTTGTGTTGTGTTACGTAAAGGAATCTAAGTGGGAAAAGAGCCATTCCGAAAACACTCCGATCTATGGATTGTGCAGACAATTTGTAATTTTGAACAACTGCAAAAAAAATTCTGGGTATTGAAGTTTATATGACAACAATCGTGAAGTAATACATATTGTATTAGATACATTGTGTATAAGTATGCTGCCTATTTTTTATTTATATCATAGATTAGTTCTAATTTTTAGATTTGTAGAGAACAATGTACTAAAGTACACATCCTAGATAGTTTTGTGTATGCTTGTTGTTTCTTGTTTATTTGAACTATTAAAATTTGTAAAAAGTATTTTCTCGTTTTTTAATCTATTATAATTTACTATTGATTAGTTTTATTTTCATTTGCAACATCT